TGCAGTGTTGCTCACAGCCACATGCACACCCCCCTTCCTTTTTTTTTTCACCCTGATATATCGTCGGTGCGTTGTCCTGTCAAAAACTATTTCTCCACTGGCAAGTGTCACAGGAGGACTCGACACTACAACTACCAACTTTTTCTTTAAACGTTTTTTTTTTCCATTCACCACAAGTCAATGTCGTCGTTGTGACTGTTGCCCATCTGCTGGCACACGTTCGACGGAACAGCCTTGATGTAGAAAATAACCAGAGCATCACTTGCAAATGAACGAGTTTAGGAGTGCTGTCGGCGGATTTTCACGTGGAAAGTACATTTGATGGAGGGGAATGAAAAGCAGGACGACGAGAGTGAATGTTAAATTTACTGTATGCTGAAATTTAACAAAGTAAATTTTATTTCACATTGTTTTGAAAGCGGGCGACATTTAGCACTGTCTGTTGCAGTTTTTATTATTATTATCGTCATTTGAGGAACTCGTGGAATGATATTCTTCCTGGTATGCAAGTATATTTTGTTATATAATAAATTGCAGGATTTTGGAGCCTATAAACCCCAGTATCTTCTGCCCAAAATCAAGCAATAAAGCATGAATTTTGTTGAGACATCCTGCGTAGGAAATCTCCAAGGTTGTGTCTTGTCTGTCTTGTACATTTGTGATTGTACAAATAAGAATATTTATATCCAGAAGGAAATTGTCCAAGTCTCTCCTGATTCATGCCACATTGACGGAGATACTCTAACCTTGAAAATTTTTAGAAGTGATTCTACACTTTAGTAAAGAAGGATAACAAGTCATGTCAAAATTCTAATTAACTTCCTGAAGTACTCTTTTGCAGATAATTTAAATAACTTTTTCAAAGTCACACTTTTATGGACCACCGCTTGATAATAAAGTTGTCTCTGATGATAAACGTTTCTTATTACTTCTGGTGAGGAGAAAACTCGAATACAATTCTGGTGAAAGAAAAGAATCCTGTATTTCAAGAAGTCTTTGAAATTATTTCAAGGGTGATGAAATCATATTCTATGCCATCCAAAAACATCATGTTCACGGTGCTTACAGAAATAAGCTTCATAATAGTGTATTCGTCTGTCGGCCAATTTATAAGTTGATTTTTTTTCGTGAATCTGCTTTCTTTTCGGACAAGTTGCATGGTAGTTAAATCCTGTTTCCAGGGAAAATTTCTTGGAATTCCCCTTCAGTGCTCGAGTCATGCTCTGAAGAACCATTATTCTTGTCAAGAAGTTAACGACAGGCGCGGCGAAAGACGAGGAAATAACTGCTTCGCGTGCCAGACGCTACATTACAAATCCATCTCATTTTCTGGAGAAAAAAAAAAATCTATTTACACAACGCAGAACGTTGTTTCAAGCTTCGTATAGAAAACGATGATAACGAGAGATGAGAACGCATTTACACAAAATGATGAGGAAAAAAAAGTAAAATAGAGGCGAGAAGAGGTTGCTTGAGGTGCTTGAGCAAGACCTTGTCCTTCTGGGATCAGGCAGTAATCGGGGAGGTGCTCGTGCAGAGCCCGAGACCCGTATATAACCAGTAAATCCCGCGCCGAAACCGAACAAAAGCGTACGGCATGTACCTGACACAACGCGTTAAGGGTTAAGGTTCATGACATGAGCCAAAGTCCACTTGGGGCACCTAGTCGAGAAGTTCGCCGTAATTTTTATCGACCCCGAAAAGATCCTTGGAAATTGATCTACATCACGAACGAGAAAGAGTAAATTCCTTGGACTTGGAGTTAAATCATGATGAGCTTCCGTCATCCGTTCCAAAACCCTCCTGTGCATCTAGGACAGTTTTTTTTTTTACGTTTTTGGCTTGACGGAAAGTGCGAAATTTTATCGTTTTTTTTTCCTACAGAAGAACCGAGATATTGTTACTTTTTTTCATTACTGAAAAGCTATAGCATAGATATCATACATAGGTGATTTGTTTTACAATTCGGCGGCCCACGTGCAAAAAAAGTTTTATTATAGACGCGGGGAACAAGAAGATTCAGAATTTGCACTGCTCTTATATTCTGAAGTTTACATGAGCCGTGCCAAGAGCTTATCCTGTCAATAAAACCCCTGTTTATTTCTTCGATTTCAAATGTTCTCGAAATATCTACTAAAGGTATTTTATACACATTATACAATATAAAATACTGTAAAACGCAGCTTTACAATTGGAGGAAGCTTCATCTTTTAAAAACTGCAATAAATTGAAAAAATTTACTGTACATTACTGTATATCCTAGTGGATTTTACGCATATACTGTTCGAAAGTTTGATTGTAATACTGTACTAAAGATTTTGTGCGAATAAAAAGTCTTACGTTCCACAGTTCAAATGCTTTTAAATGTCATAATTTTGCACATGATGGGATGACTTGAAAAATAAGGTCATCAAATGGTTAGTTACATTCTTTCGGTATATTGAGAAAGAAACGTTTCATGCGAGCATGTTAAGTATTCATCTATTTTTTTTTCCTTTTTGGAAAAATGAGATCGAAAGGAGTATATTCTTCATGAGCCACTTGACAGGTGGTGGAAAACAGCATGTGCAATTATAGGCTTAATTGCTGGTAAACGTATACAGAATTAATTTTCGCGAAACTTCGCTAACGAGCTATTGGAAAAGAAGGAAGCTTCGTGGTGTCATTTTTGAGGTTTTGAGCATCGATTGCAATATTATTTATTGCACAATCACAAGGGAAAAGCACGGCATCAAAACGACGACCCTTCCTTTGCTTTCCGAAAAAATTGGTCTATCATACCGTTTTAAACTTTTATTTCGAAATACTGTTCTAAAGTTTTTTTTAGCAGACACTGTTAAACAGAGGTGATACCTTAAAATATGTACTGTTGCTGGACTAGATTTGGATTGCATAGCAGTCGAATTGCAAGGCAATGTCAAATGACATGTTTTCTACATGGTATTTGACGTTTAATGCCTCTCCACAGGTTGAATTGCCTGGCAGCAGTGGCGGCCTTAGGGTGGGGCAAGAGGGGCGGCCGCCCCAGGCCCCGCGCTTGAGGGGGCCCCGCACTTGAGGAGGGCCCCACGGTACTATGTGGCTCTGAAAATTGGCTGACCCCCTCAAAATTTTTCCACTTGCCTTGAAAGTGGAAGGAGTGGGCCCCTTCCAAACGGACTTGTTTATTCTTACCTCTTTACAAAGTTTGCTGTTAATTAGTAATCTGATCTACAATATAAGTAGAGCACTACAGAGCCAACAATGCATTCAGAAGTATATTAGCATAGGAGCTTTCCTACTGCGTATACATTTTTCAATCTTCAGTGGATTTCTTTCAAAGATAAATGCATTTTTATATTTTATAAGGTCTTGTCAAGTTCTTATCAATAAGAATTTTAAATAGAAACAATGCATCTTGAATTTTAAATGGCCATTAAATAATGGCAACCATCAATGTTAATCTCTCTCATGTATTTTATGCAATGAGGGTCTAATTTTCAATCAATATTTCTAAATATGATGATTATCCATGTTTACAATGAAATTCATATTCATTCATCATGACTTCAGAGTAAATATGCTGCTTTCTCTATTACAGATAGAACAATATTGTTGCTGGACCTTGCTAGAGCATGAAATTTATTGATATTAATTATCTTCCGCGATTGCATTTCCAGTGTATCCCTGGCAAACCCCACAAAGACAATTCCTTTTGAATCCCACTGCATGGAAAGTTTTTGGCTTTAAATAAGCTATAGTCCTTTGCTAGTAAAAATATCCTGCAGTAATACCTTTCTGTTGTAAAATGTGGGCCAAGTTTTATAGCAGCTGTTCCAAAAAATGAGAAAAAATACCTCTGATGTTTTTAAAAACAGATAAGCTACATTTCTACATGTTGGTAATGTGTGAATAAGTAACAGTTATAAGAAGGTCTTCTTGATCAACCTGACTTTCTTGATCAACCTGTACACACATTGGACCATAATCCTAAAACTTGAAAACTGCTGTGACAATTTTTTAAAGCCCTTTCAAATTAAACCTGAAGATAATTCTCAATGTAACTCATACAGATACCTTTTCCAGAAATACACATGCAAAAATTGTATCTAATCTGCGGAATTTTAAGATAAATGAATGCTGAGCAGCTTAATTTGGTTTCAGGAAGATGATAACCATTTAGTTTTGATTAGCTGCACTTCTTTTCTGCAGTAATTATGATTGCTATTATAGTACAGTAATTTTATTTGCAATGGCCATTTTGGTTGGTACTTGTAAATTTTGAATATTTGAACACACAACCAATTCAGCCAAAACAAACAATTCTACATTCAAAGAAATAAGAGATGCTAGTAAAGTACAAGTAATTGATAAAAAAAATTCTAAAAGTTCATCTTAGAAACTTGCAAAAGACCTTTTTTTCAGCTTCCAAGAAACTTAACTGTATTTGCTGCTTTATTTTAATTTAGTTTTTTTAATGGTGTTTGAGAATAGGCAGGGGAGCCTTTTTGAGGGGCCCCACTTTTGTCTTCTGCCCCAGGCCCCGCAAACCCTAGGGCCGCCTCCGCCTGGCAGAGGTCAAATTGAGAGTCAACCTCCCAGCAAATTTGACCATCAAATTGTGGGATGGTTGATTTGCATGAGTTCAAATTGTGAGGTAACACCATCAATCATTCATCAATCATAGACCTGGATAATCAGAGCTATCATTTAAAATAGATTCAATTCATAGAATATGGCAAAAGTGCCAAAGCTGCCAAACTTACAAACTGATCCTTCCCACATCCCTTGCCATCATTTGCGAGTATTTTTTTATAACTTTCTGGAAGATCATTATACTGTTCAATTGAAGATGGCTTTTCCTTTTTGCCTGTCATCTCTATACACATTTTCGTTCTCTCTCTCAATAAAAGTGTAGTCACGTGAACTGTGCCTGTGGTAGTTCTCCACGACTAATTACAGGAGCAGTGGTCGTCGTACTAGGTCGAGTGTCGACGACCGTAGCGGCGTCGGCGGTTGTGGCGGCGGCGGCTCTCTTCACCATCACCGCCGCCGCCCCCAAGCACCTACTCCGACGCACCTCGAAGACGTCGGCAAAGGATGTCAGCAGCAAGAGGTGAAAAAGACGCAGACGAAGGAGAAGAAGAGAAAGAAGAAAGCAACAGTGTCCGATCAGAGGATGAGTCGGTTGATGCGTTGGTCGTTCCAACGACGGCATCAATTACGCGTCGGTCACGCATTTGGATCCCGGTTTGGACGTTGTGCTTGCTGGCTCTGATGCTGCTGGATCTCGTCTCGGGCTCAGTGCCGTGCCCCAAAGAAGGCTGTCTCTGCGTCGCCAAGCAGGTCAGACCTTGATGATGACTGGATCCCATCAGACACCCGAGTGGCTGAATTTTCCGTTTTTTTTTCTCTCACTTTTTTTTCCGCCCCCGTGGTGATGAATTACACATACAAATGGACCTCGATAACTCAAGCTTCCCCAAGTCAAAAACTTCCTTTTATTTCAAATTATTTGACCCTGAAAAATCCCTTGACAACTATTTATGATAAACCTCCCTAATAACTGGAAAAATGTTCCCCTGAAACCTCTGTAACTCGAATTTTCTGGAGGCCTTTGGGTATGATTCTAAGTAAAAATACCAATTTGACTTCAGCCATGCTTTTCAAGAGGAAGGGAGTGACACATATTGGGTGAATGAACCCTATAGCCTCAAAGATTAGCCTCCTGCATACACCAAATTTATTCAGCATATTAAGCCCCAGGATGTTACACTTTCTTAGTTCCTGTGAGACAGTACTTTTATTTTACCACCAGAAAAGAATGGTAGTTTTTCTAGCTCAAAATTTCCACAAGTTAATTTTTTTGTTGGTCTCTTGAAGTTTGAGTTAAACATGTTCTACTGTATTTATGCAAGTACTGTACCACGCACAAACGTTTCCTCAAGAGATTAGGACCAAGAAAAGCTAGGTGCGCATAACAATTTGTTCCACATTTTCGAAAAATTGAATGCAAGTCATACGTGAATCATGTTGGGTAAATTGTTTAGGAAAAGATTTCTAGTTAATTTCCAATATTGCTCCAGAGTTCCGTTTAGAATGGTTGTATGATTTTTATTAAAATATAGAAACCTAGTTTAATTGAATTTTATACTAAGCTTGAATTTTTCTATTCTTTGCCCATTTTAGTTTTTAAAGTGTGAATTCATGTCTTCTGCTGGGATAGAAATTTGTTCCCAAAGTTTAGCTTAAAAAACTAAGCAGGTAGGCGTCTTACTCAAGGGTGTGTGGTACTCCTAAATAGGGTACATGTGACTCTGCACTCTGGTGACCCAAAGATCAACCATGTGGGATGCAATTTTTGCAATAGACCAGACTGAAGTCTTTCTGTAGAAACCCTTCTTTTTAGGAGTAGCAGGGGAAACTTTTCGTTTTATTTTGAAATACCAAAAGTACAAACGGGCTTCAGGAGCTGAGAGCATCTACAGCGTACTTACTAGTTTAGTGCAATATTATATTCAAGCTGAGTTTATTATTGCGCCATATTTGATAGATTCGCATTAAATTTAGCTGGTTTGTGTCAGGCAAGGTTCGTTTCGGTAGTTCAGAGTCGGTCGGATAATTTTAGGTCAGGTTAGTTGACATTTCAATTGGTTTAGATCACATTGATTCAATTCGGTTCAGATTAGGTACTATTTTTGGAACACGTCAGTTTACTTAAGAATCAGTTATATTTTAGTATGTTAATTTCTGTTCAGTTCGTTTTGTGTAAAGCAACATGCCTTTTAATTAGTTTGGGTAGCCTTGATGTATATTTGTTTGCGTTATATTAGGTTACAGAAGGGTTTTTTTTTACCAAGTGTTTGGATGGATTATTAATGATGATGACGCGTGAAAGACATTCCTGAAGGACATTCCGGTCATTAAAGTGTGAATGATTTTTAAATGGGTAATGAAAATTGTCTTCTGACGCGTTTTCATCGCAAATAGGGTCGTAAGAATTTGAAGAGGGGAAACGCAATCTACTTATTTCGACCTAGGAGTCTGACTTCAGAAAGACATCTTTGGGAAGAAAAATCCTCATCGTCCCCTTTGAAAAGCAAAATAAAACTTTATGGTTTTCATGTTTGCCCGAAGTCCTCGACTCTCGTAGATGTCGCATGAATGATATTTAGTGCAATTATATTCAAGCTGAGTTTATTATTGCGCCCTATTTGATAGATTCGCATTAAATTTAGCTGGTTTGTGTCAAGCAAGGTTTGTTTCGGTAGTTCAGAGTCGGTCGAATAATTTTAGGTCAGGTTAGTTGACATTTCAATTGGTTTAGATCACATTGATTCAATTCGGATCAGATTAGGTATTACAGTGAGACCCTGAGACGCGGACGTAATTGGTGCATCAAGAGTGTCCCCAAGTCAATATGTCCCCAAGTTGAGTCTCATTTCCCCTGAGACTTACATTATATAATTTTTAGTTGGTGTTTTGTGGAAGAAATATTCTTCAGAATTCCCTGAAAAAAATTGTTTGCCACTTGAATTTGAATTAGTGAATACATTTTCAACTCGATGAGAACAGTTGGATATAGTGTGTCTCTGTACTGTACACTGAAATTTTAGCATCTACAAAAATAACATTCAAGTGAAAAAAAGTAGAAATCCCTCTATGATGGAGGTAATTTTTTTAATTAGCTAAATGGATGGTAATTTGGTGAGAGAAATGCCCAAGAACTTTTCTTAGATCAATTTCGTTTTTTTTAAAGCAGGATGCCTTTGAATTAGTTTGGGTAGCCTTGATGTAGATGGATTGGTTATATTTGTTTGCGTTCGATTAGGTTACATCAGGGTTTTTTACCAAGTGTTTGGACGGATTATTAATGCTGATGACGCGTGAAAGACATTCCTGAAGGACATTCCGGTCATTAAAGTGTGAATGATTTTTAAATGGGTAATGAAAATTGTCTTCTGACGCGTTTTCATCGCAAATAGGGTCGTAAGAATTTGAAGAGGGGAAACGCAATCTACTTATTTCGACCTAGGTCATGTCACATCTTCTTTTTTTTTATTTTCAGCAGTACTCGTATTTTACTTTAGTTTTATGAAATGTTTTTTTTTCTCTGATCATCTTCATTTTAAAAATATTTGCGGAAATATTGTATGACTTAACTTATGATGCACTCAGGCATATTTTAGTGTTTTTCAAAGAAAACAGTTTTACTTTGAATGAATGAATGAACATAACACTTTATTTGCCGCTTTTCAGCATTCACAAGGTTCAAACAATGTTCCCACATCCAAACCAACTCCCCTCCCCACCCACATTCATTCAAACACATTCTGCACATCAGAAAGGGAAATAGCGAAACACATATAAAGCCAACAGTTTATCTTGATCCTTTAAGATTTCAGAAAGGGTCTCTTCATTGAATTCCAGTACTGTACCTGTAAATTGTTCTTAAGCTTGTTTCTATCAGTATGAAATGCTGGACATAAGAAGAGAAAGGACATATAGGATATTACGTTGAAAGAACATATAGGAAATTAAATTGAAAGAACATATAGGATATTACAATTTGAATGTACTGTACTGTACTTGGATTTTCAATTACGTCTGCGTATAATTTTACTTTGTGAGTCAGAAAGGGAGAATCTTTCCCAACGGGTTTTGCAGGGCCAGCCTTTGTTCACTGTACTGTACATGTACAGCCAATCTACTATTCAAATTACTGTACATCAATTTTTCATTGCTGGGGCTAGATTTTTATTCATAAATGAGACAGCGCTGTTTTGAAACCGTAATCATTGTGGTACAGTACTTTACTAATCAGCTCAGTTGTCGCATGGAGCTGGTACTTGGTCATTTGCGGATGGAAAGCTTTCAGTGACGAAGTGCGAATGCAAATTTTTCATTTCTTTAGAGTGCCCAGTTCTCGTTGAATTTTTAAAGAAACAAGCAAGAAAAAAAGTTGTTCAAGCTTTATCAATGATTTAATCTCCATGAAGGCTGTACTGTACTTTATTCCCTCATTTACTTATTCTTCTTTATTTTTACTCTTTGTTGTTCATCTATTCGAATTTTTGTTTTGCGCGAAGGTATCATTTTTTCGGTGTCGAGTTTTGTTCTGAAAGGTTTGTTTTTTGCGTATTTTGCTTATTTATTCAACTTTTAATACAATAATTGAGTTGTGTAATACTGTCTACTGGGTACGACTTTTCGGGATATCTGGTAAAATGTATTGCTTCCATAGTACAGTACAGTGCAATATTATTTTTGGAGAAAGAAACAAATGAGAAACACCAGCATTCACGAATTTCTGGCAGAAAAATAGGGTGGCAAAGTAAAAGTCTGGCAACGTTAATTTCCCGCTTGCCTTTTTTTTTTTACAAGGATGCAAAAAAATGTAATGCTTTACTTAATGAGTTCGTTTCTTTCTTTTTGAATTTCACAGGTCACGTGCAGTGGAGCGGGTTTGACCGAATTCCCGAAGAACATTTTTGTCGATGTTGAATCTCTCTCGTTTGTGCGCAACAAAATCAAGAGGATCCCTCAAAATTATTTCAAGCAATTCAAGAAACTCAAGCGATTGTACTTGGATAAAAATGTGATTTCTGAGGTAAAGTATGCAGTCCTGTCTGACTATCAGTGTAATCGCTTTTTTCACTCTTCAATATAGAGGTACTGTATATGAAAGATTTGACACGAAATGGTGGCACACGAACTTTTGATGGAATCGAAATCGTTTCTGTCAACCTCCGGAAATTTAATGTACGGTAATTCTGTGTTGTTGTTTTTAACGTAAGTCCTTTTTTCACGAAAAATTGACGTGTAATTGTTGGAGTTCGTACAAAAAATGCACAAGCTGTATTTTTAAAGGTATGACGAAATTTTACTTGAGAATTTCCTAAAATAAAATGTTTTGCTTTGAGCAAGGGATTTTGCCGTCACAAGTGAATTCTCTTTTAGAAATTGTAATTAATGATAAAAATTCATCAGATAAAAGGATTTCAATTGATTCTTAGAGTATTATCCGAGTTTTTTGAGCATTTGTATACACACCTACGACTCAATGTGATTTAATTGTTTATGATAAGGATTGAAATTATTCTTGTCGCTGGCAATTTGGATATATGGGATATAGGCAAAGATTGATGAATTATCCACTTGCAGGTCCCAGCTCACTTCCTTGAGGGTCTGCCATCCGGCATGGACGCCATCTCCCTGCAAGACAACAAACTACGCTTCCTGGCTCCGTTCAGCTTCGGCGGGATCCGCGATGTGGGCGACATCTCGTTACAGAAAAATGAGCTCCGCGCCATCAAAGAGTTCGCCTTCGCCGGTACGACGCACGTCAACATGCTGATGCTCGGCGGGAACCCGATGCAGCGCATCGACGGATGGGCTTTCTCGGGTCTCACTGACGTCAACTTCCTAGAGTTACCACGTGGGATCGGCGCCCTGGCACCGGACGCCTTTCACGGGCTTCACCGTGTCGGCTTCATGCCACTCGCTGGTCTCAACCTAACCGAGCTGAGAGCCAATGTGTTCCGCGAGCTGAGGAATGTGTCGGTGTTGAGCTTGGTGGACTCGTCCGTGGGCAACGTTGCGGTGGGATCGTTGGACGGCGTGCGAGGCGTACAGAACCTGGACGTGTTTAACAACACGTTCCTCACATTTGAAGAGTTGCGCATCGGGGTTGAGAGCGAGGTGCAGGCCCTGAAGGTCGAGGGCAATTCCTTCAAGGGCATTGGGGTCCCAGGACTGATTCATTTTCGAGCTTCCAGGTGATTTTTCGGTTTGCTTACAGTTCAAAATAGAGTTGGCGCGCGGAATAAAAGCCAATGCCAAATCTTGATGGGGAACATTATCAGGAATTTTTTTAGGCAACATTTTCTGCCGGATTATAAAAAAATATTTGACTTTTACCAAACATAGACCTTGGTTCAAAAATCAGATTTGTTTTTCGATTTGCAAGGCTCATGGGGACAAAATTTGGCATAAATATCTGGACTTTGATGCACAAGGGTTAAATATATATTACTGGTACCCCACCCCTTGATGAACTACCAACCCTGTTCAACTGCCAAAATTCTGCAACACAAATGTTGGTGGTTTAACGAGGGTCGACTGTGGAAAGATTTTACTGTACACTGAAAACCCTCAGCTCCTGGCCTGGGTAAAGAAAAGCTCAGTAAGTCATGCTTCATAATTTTACATTTTTGGGCAATCAGCAGCCAGTTTTCAGCCAAAATTTTCAAGGTTCTGCTTTCTTTCGAATGAGAAAAAAAATCTTGCTAAACAAGTGCAATTCTTCTGTTTGCTTTCAGGTCCCTGTCGGTGTCGGGCAACACCTTTCCCTGCGATTGCAGGATCCATAGGATTTTGAAAGAACCTCCCGAGGGTTTCGCCGACACCAACTACTGCAACGCACCCGTCGAAGTGGCAGGGATGACGATCAAACTAGCCTTGAACGTCACGGGGGTCGAACGATGCCCCGAAGACCTGGTATCCGAACCCACTTCGTCATCTAGTCAATACAAGGCCTCCGCAGGAGACCGGAACTTCTTGCCTCGACTCACCCTTACCTACTTTTTGCTCGGATTCCTGTTCATCACACAAGAAAATGTTTTGATTTTTGAATAATAATGGATTGACAAAGATGTGGATGACATCAAGTCGAATGTTATGTTCAATTTCGCCAAACTGTTTTGAGACTGTCTGTTCGAGATTGTAAAACAGCGATGACTCCCGGTGTTCGAAAAGAATCCGTTTTTAAAGCTAAGGCAGATGTGATAGTTGACAACTTGAATGTGTGAAGACTTGACAAAAATAATCCTTTTTTTTGCGAGGTTATGCGGCAAAGTTTAGTCCGAAATATCGTGCTTCGACTTGAATTTTTGCTGACGTGGATGACGACGAGATTCCTTTATTCGTTTAACAAGACTCGGTGCCATTTTTTGCTTTTGCGAAACAGGAAAAATAAACGGCTTGCTATGGAGGAAATTATTAAGAATATTTCAGTCTTACACGACGTCCTTAACTGTTTTCCGAAAATACTTTTTCGACAGAAACCACTAAACTTTTTTGTATGGCTGTTCGAAGAAGAAAAATACTGTTGATGAAAATCGGCAGACCCAAAGAATCGTCCATGTTTTTTTTTTTTTACCAACAGTTAATGTCGCATTGTGAACTAAATTATCGATGCCTACTCTTCGTCTGTGAAAGAGCATTAGGTCACTTTTTTGCTCGTTATTGTAACACATTTTATATTTCAGATGTTCGCTGCAGCATCTATAGGAAGAGTTCCCTGTACACGTGCTTGCAATTTTTTTCTCGAAACTCATTGAATGAGCGCTTATTTACTTGAATTTCAATTCAGAATAAAATTAAACGATTAACCCTGTAAAAAATAATTTTTCGTCATCAACAATGCTGGATAATCACAAAAAAGGAAGCAACTATAATTTGTAAGGAATCCTTCATTTTGTACAGAACTTCGCTAACGACAGGTGCAGTGCTGTATAATAAATTATTCCTTACGTACTGTATTTCAATACAGGTACTGGGCTTTCGACCTGGCACAGAAAATGTGCATGCAACATGAGTAAACCATAACATTTAGAATATAATCATCATTATATTCCTTTCATAATCACGAAACAAACCTTTAGTTTGGACAGAAAAGCACTATGCACCGACGCCTCACAAAAATACGAGGCATGTCGTTGATGGATAGTACGGGCACCGGTACAGCATATCGGCTGGGGGACCGGATACCTGTGCGACACCTGTTAGTTCAAAATACAACTAGCCTTCGAAGAACATGGTAGTTTTTTCCTACGTGACACTGCTAATCGCTGTGGTACAGTACTGTAGTAAGTAGTGAGGCTACAGCACTATGCACACGTACGATCCGAAAGGTATGCTGTACCGCTTTAGAAACGTTTAATTTTAGACATTTTGCGTCGAACAAACATTTTTGGGACATTTGCAGCATTTCACAAATTTTTCCACGTCGGTCTGCAGATATGGAATCAGAAAATTTCGAAAAGCGTCGTCATAAGAAAAAAAACATGTGTAATAATTCTCCCTTGAACTCGCATGCTCAAGATTCGAGAGATCAATAAACCGCATTTCATTTAAGCACAGTTCGTACATTAAATACAACGCGAAATAATTAAATGCCCGCGGAATGAATCAATTCACGCGATTGTTAATCATATACAGTGCTGTAATAAGTAGCCCTTACAAGGGTTAACTTCGAAACTTTATCCTTCAAAAGTTTTTCGAGAAGAATTCTCTCTGCGGAATATGGCGAACAGAAAGAAATTTCAAGCCGTCAAGGATGCCGTCATGATGGCTAAAATCGGCAAGTCCAAACCTACTAAAAAGCCGCCTGGATTTTTCAGGCGTGTTGTGGAAAGCATTTGCGATGAAATCGCGGTTGCTCACACATACGTGGACTCGACTCTCATCGCCTTCTTCATCAACGTAAGAAATCACGCCATTTCCCGAGATTTTGCTCATGATCTGACTCTGAATCACGTCAAGGCTAGAAGGTCATCCCTTTGCTCTTTTGTTATTAACTGATTGTTTTTTGTGTGAAATGTTTCCATTTTTTCTTCTGTATTGCGGGATTTTAGGAGCATATTGCGGCAGTTTAGAAAATTTATTTTTCACGTCAGGAATGCTCCAGAATATTCATTCGTTTTGAATGTTCTCCCATCCACTCATTATTGGGTTCAATGCATGAGGAGTTCTTCGTCTTTGCTTCTAAGCTTGAAAAAAAAATTATGGACAGAAAATTCTTGATGTGCGTATCCATTTCCAAAACCGTGTTGGTACTTCTTTGGGTGAATGAAGTAAGTATGCGAAGGTTGTCCCACAACTCCCACTAGGGCATAACCTTGGTTATTTCTGCAGTAGTTATGACTGTAAAAAATAATATGACGTAGCGCATGGTTTTATAAGGTTCTGGGATTTTTTTCGGATTAAAAAAAGAAAATTATATGATAATAATGGAAATTTTCCAGTTACGGCGGTCGAACTTCTCCACCCATGTCACAGGCACTATAAAAAAAAGTTCAGGCTAGCTAAAAAAAATGTTGAAATTTTCTTGTTTCGCCTATTATCTTTTCTAAATTTCAGATAATCGTTAAAACGTGAAAGATATTGCAATATTCAGCTGAGTGACCCTGACACATTTTTTGCAACCTGTGAAATAGGTAGAGAACTCTGGCAGTGACTGGAAAGTGTTCACGTGTTATCGTCATGCAGTAAACTGAAAATAGTTATTAAAATGCGGGGGAAAAACCCAGAGCCTTACAACATCATGGGCTATATCAGTCATATTTTTACAATCATACCCACCGTACTCTAGAAAAAAGCAAGGTCGCGCCGACTTCGGACAACGCTCATATAAAGAAACCAAAATTCGGTCCTTCGAAAACGCTTGTTCAACAATAACACTTGCTTATTGTCGCTTTTCTCCGCGTTCGTTTTGTCTCTCGATCCGACAATTTTCTCATTTTAACTTTGACATGTAATTTCACAATTCAGCAATCAATGCGTTGCATAAAAAATAAGCAGTAATGAAAGATTTTTTTTTCTCAGTACGTCACAGCAGCGCTGCTCAGCGGACAAATCTTCAACTACATCCACGGCGTCCATCCCTTCGTTTACACAGAGGGCAAGTACGCGTGGATCTTTCCAGGGACCAGGTCGCAGTTTTTGGCAGAGTCGTACGTAATCGCGGCGATCTTGTGGTTCATGGGTCGCAAATTCATTGACCTAGGCGAGGTCATCGGATCGAAACAGCGAAGAGAAATCTGTGAAGCCAATGCCTGGCAAGCCATCGTCACCATCGGAGTCCTGATGTTTGTCTGGCAATGTGTGGCTGCAGCGAAAGCACCGTCGTATCCGTTTGGAGTCGGCGATATTTTTGAGTGAGAAAAAAATCAGGGCACCATCATCAACCCTATTAATGTTAATAATTTGCATTAGTTGGCAAATTTACTGCATATACTTGAGTACCATGAACCCTTGCAAAAGACACATACAGTACTGTATCTCTATTTTTATGCATATATTCTTGACTAAGACGCGCTCCTTACTTATATTTTTCTTCAATGAAAAATGTTAATAGAGCAACAATAAACTATGTGAAACAATTTAATTTAAACTTAAATTTAACCTGAATCCAACTGCCCTTTTGATTTTTCTTGCTATATACAGTATTACTCAAGTACCACGCACCCTTGAGTAAGGCACACACAGAGGTTTTTCAGTTGGAAATTTGGCTAAAATCTGATACCCAAGTAAGACGCGCACCCTAATTTTTAGTGAATCTAAAACCAAAAAATTTTGAAAATAAATTCAAAAAATTTGACTTTAGACATAAATTGAAAAAAATTGGGTGAATTTCCAAGTTTTTCAGTACAAGAAAGTTTTCTTGTTACATTTGTTTGAAATTTCTCCATTATAATTAAGTAAAATGCACACATAACTTCCTAAAACTTCTTGAAAAATGTGTACCCCCTTATGATGCACGCCCCTTTTTACCACGTTTTTATGAACTCACTTTTATCTGATGAATTTTTATCATTAATTACAATTTCTAAAAGAGAATTCACTTGTGACGGCAAAATCCCTTGCTCAAAGCAAAACATTTTATTTTAGGAAATTCTCAAGTAAAATTTCGTCATACCTTTAAAAATACAGCTTGTGCATTTTTTGTACGAACTCCAACAATTACACGTCAATTTTTCGTGAAAAAAGGACTTACGTTAAAAACAACAACACAGAATTACCGTACATTAAATTTCCGGAGGTTGACAGAAACGATTTCGATTCCATCAAAAGTTCGTGTGCCACCATTTCGTGTCAAATCTTTCATATACAGTACCTCTATATTGAAGAGTGAAAAAAGCGATTACACTGATAGTCAGACAGGACTGCATACTTTACCTCAGAAATCACATTTTTATCCAAGTACAATCGCTTGAGTTTCTTGAATTGCTTGAAATAATTTTGAGGNCTAAAATCGGCAAGTCCAAACCTACTAAAAAGCCGCCTGGATTTTTCAGGCGTGTTGTGGAAAGCATTTGCGATGAAATCGCGGTTGCTCACACATACGTGGACTCGACTCTCATCGCCTTCTTCATAAACGTAAGAAATCACGCCATTTCCCGAGATTTCGCTCATGATCTGACTCTGAATCACGTCAAGGCTAGAAGGACATCCCTTTGCTATTTTGTTATTAACTGATCGTTTTTTGTGTGAAATGTTTCCATTTTTCTTCTGTATTGCGGGATTTTAGGAGCATATTGCGGCAGTTTAGAAAATTTATTTTTCACGTCAGGAATGCTCTAGAATATTCATTCGTTATAAATGTTCTCCCATCAACTCATCATTGGGTTCAATGCATGAGGGGTTCTTCGTCTTTGCTTCTAAGCTTGAAAAAAAATTATGGACAGAAAATTCTTGATGTGCGTATCCATTTCCAAAACCGTGTTGGTACTTCTTTGGGTGAATGAAGTAAGTATGCGAAGGTTGTCCCACTAGGGTTATTGGTTATTTCTGCAGTAGTTATGAGACTTATGATTGTAAAAAATATTATGACGTAGCGCATGGTTTTATAAGGTTCTCGGATTTTTCCGGATTAAAAAAAGAAAATTACATGATAATAATGAAAATTTTCCAGTTACGTCGGTCGAACTCCTCCACCCATGTCAAAGGCACTAAAAAAAATTTCAAGCTAGCTAAAAAAAATGTTGAAATTTTCTTGTTTCGCCTATTATCTTTTCTACATTTCAGATAATCGTTAAAACGTGAAAGATATTGCAATATTCAGCTGAGTGACCCTGACACATTTTTTGCAACCTGTGAAATAGGTAGAGAACTCTGGCAGTGACTGGAAAGTGTTCACGTATTATCGTCACGCAGTAAACTGAAAATAGTTATTAAAATGCGGGGGAAAAACCCAGAACCTTACAACATCATGGGCTATATCAATCATATTTTTACAATCATACCCACCGTACTCTAGAAAAAAGCAAGGTCGCGCTGACTTCGGACAACGCTTATATAAAAAAACCAAAATTCGGTCCTACGAAAACGCTTGTTCAACAGTAACACTTGCTTTTCTCCGCGTTCGTTTTGTCTCTCGATCCGACAATTTTCTCATTTTAACTTCGATAAATAATTTCACAATTCTGCAATCAATGCGTTGTATAAAAAATAAGCAGTAATGAAAGATTTTTTTTCTCAGTACGTCACAGCAGCGCTGCTCAGCGGACAAATCTTCAACTACATCCACGGCGTCCATCCCTTCGTTTACACAGAGGGCAAATATGCGTGGATCTTTCCAGGGACCAGGTCACAGTTTTTGGCAGAGTCGTACGTAATCGCGGCGATCTTGTGGTTCATGGGTCGCAAATTCATTGACCTAGGCGAGGTCATTGGATCGAAACAGCGAAGAGAAATCTGTGAAGCCAATGCCTGGCAAGCCATCGTCACCATCGGAGTCCTGATGTTTGTCTGGCAATGTGTGGCTGCAGCCAAAGCGCCGTCGTATCCGTTTGGAGTCGGCGATATTTTTGAGTGAGAAAAAAATCAGGGCACCATCATCAACCCTATTAATGTTAATAATTTGCATTAGTTGGCAAATTTACTGCATATACTTGAGTACCATGAACCCTTGCAAAAGACACATACAGTACTGTATCTCTTATTTTTATGCATATATTCTTGACTAAGACGCGCTCCTTACTTATATTTTTCTTCAATGAAAAATGTTAATAGAGCAACGATAAACTATGTGAAACAATTTAATTTAAACTTAAATTGAACCTGAATCCAACTGCCCTTTTGATTTTTCTTGCTATATAGAATATTACTCAATAAGTACCATGCACCCTTGAGTAAGGCACGCACAGAAGTTTTTCAGTTGGAAATTTGGCTAAAATCTGATACCCAAGTAAGACGCGCACCCCAATTTTTAGTGAATCTAAAACCAAAAAATTTTGAAAATACATTCAAAAAATTTGACTTTAGACATGAATTGAAAAAAAATTGGGTGAATTTTCAACTTTTTCAGTACAAGGAAGTTTTCTTGTTACATTTGTTTGAAATTTCTCCATTATGATTAAGTATAATGCACACATAACTTCCTAAAACTTCTTGAAAAATGTGTACCCCCTTATGATGCACGCCCCTTTTTTTCTTCTGAAATTTGAGAAAAAAGGTGCGCGAGGTACTTGAGTAAGTATTTTATCATCTGCCACAAGTCAGCCAGTTCATAGCTTATATTTTGAATGAATTTAGCTCTGCACATTTTGGAAAATTTGAAATGCCGTCCAAGTGACTCACGTATGACATGCACCTAAACTTTTTTAGAAGTTTTACATTTTTGTACCAGACCGTCATGCGTATTCATTTTTTTTCCTTTTGATCTTTTATGTGCGTGATACTGCATTCCAGTAAATAAAGATGAATACTATGTCATGATCCATTTACTAAGAAGGGTTATAACTTAGAATTACTGTATCTGTTATCAAATAATTCGAATTACAACCTATCTTACTAAGCTGAACCGTTAATTAAGATACAGTACTTGGCATAAAGACTGAATTCTGCATTACCTCAAATCACAGAAGGATAAATTACAAATTATTTGCTTTTTAGAAATCATTTCAGGTGTGGCGTATTCCGAGAAATTGGTTATCGTGTTCACGCGAGAAACAATGCAGTACTTGATTTGGCGAGGTTTATAATCCAATAAAAAAGTTGATGGTGCTTGCGAACTTAATTTTTTCTCAATTAAATAACAAAATCAAAACGCAGAAATCCACCAAAGAGCGTTCTAAACACAATAAAACATTGTAGGCCATCATTAGCGCGTACGAAGTTGATTGCATGAATAATATTGCAAGTCAATATTCGCATACTTGAACCAATGATTTTTTTTCGGAGATACTCTCGTGAAACATTAATGGAATCGAGGTACGATACAGTAAATACGAGTATCTCTGCAAAAAATTTCATTTTTCCACAAACCCAGTTCAACAGCGAACAACGCCCGATTTTTCACAGTTGCATTGTAAAATCACCAGCCCATGAATCACGATACCCATGAATAAATTAAAAACCAATAATTATCGTAAGAAATCGCGACAAATGAATCACGACGAATGAAAACATTCCTTTTCACGAACCGAATTCTGTAATGCCTGAAAAATAGGACGCATCGGACATCAATGATGAAATAAATGAGTCCATTGAAATCACAAGACGGCGTTTTCTTTCAGGTGGGCTATGTGAAAACGCTTTCACAAGATGAACGGAAAAATCGCCTTCCTCTGCTTCGGATACTCGGGGAACTTCTTCTTGTACCACGCATGTGTCATACATGCAGTGAAAACCTGCGACAAACAACCGAATTTTGCATTACATTTGTTTTTGCAGAACTGTCATACGAACTCAGGATTTTATGTAAGTCAGAGAAAAAAATGGAGAATATGAAGACGGTTATGATACTGTTTTTCGCCAAGAAATACAAATAAAAATGCTTTCAAAGCCTTCCTTTTCGACTCATTTTCTTTTGCATGAAATGAATTCTAAAATCTGCTTCATTTTCTCAAATCGAAAACAATCAAAGCAAAGATATTTTTTTATTCTGAACCCAATTTAGCTTTCGTGCGCAATTTCTGCTAGAACACATCAAGTGCTAAATTAAAAATCGACTTCATGTGGTGCACCAGTCAAAATTGATATTATTGATTTTTATCAACAGCGTTTCACCAAAATGCTGCAGTTTCGTAGATGCTGCAGTAGCTAAATTTACGAAAGCCAGATGTTTAGTGGGGACAAAAGAATGCCTATCAAGATACCAATTACTTTTTTTAAAGTTAGTAAATTGATTTTCGGAGCAGGCTTTTTTCTGTATATCTATCGGACACCAACTTTTTCTTTTCTCGTCTACGATAAAGATGACAAAACAAAAAATTCTGCACGAACACTCAAGTGATAAATATGAAGTATAGTATACGGTACTTTTGGTTGCACACCAGTGGAAATGGATTTTATTTATCAATATTATCAGTTTTTTTTCTCAAAATGCTGCATTAGCTAAATTTACAGAGGACACATTTTTTAGCGAGAACAAGATTATGTCGAAAATGCCTATGAAGATACCAATAAGTTTCTGAAAAGTACTCTACTCTACACTATGTGATGTGATTTTCAGATCAGTATTTTTTCTGCATCAATCGGACGCACATTTTTTTTTATCCTCTCGTCAAAAAAATAAAATAAAAAAGATGCCACAACGAAGTTCCATTTGAAAAAATAAAAATAAATAAATACAAGTAATGAAACCCAAGACAAGATAATCGATGTCGTCTTTCGCTGAAATCCAGAACCCGAACCTGATTCGCAATAACCCAGTAGAGAACCGCGAGCCAGCCCAAGTGCCTCGGGCCAAGGATCACGTAAATGGAAGCGTAGATGAGGATCTCAGCGGTGAAATGCGGACAAGAGACGTAGTTGAATGAGATGGATCCAGTTGGGATGTAATGAGCTTGTTTTGAGGCTCCTGCGGAAGGAGATGACGCCAAGAATCAGTCCCGATCTGCCCGCCGATATGCATCATTATTCCGTTTCAAATCCGCCGCCGCCAAAGAGGAAAGGACCCAAGACGAAATTATATGCGAGTCTCTTCTAAATATTCCGAAAGGTGCAATTATGCGTCTTCAAGCGAACGGAAATACCGGCGAGCTTACGTATAGTACAGTATCATACCGGTACGGTAAAAGTGTCGACTACAGCAGTGTTCCCCAACCTTTTTGAGCCCGCGAAACCGGCAAATGTCCTTAAAATATTTACGGACTGGCAAATTTTCTAAACCCTCCAAGATCCACAGGCGAAGAACAATTGATCTAACTCAAGTTTATTACCTTGTAATGACCTAAATACGTTACCATCAGTACAGTAGTAATGACCGCTACTCCATTAGCCTAATATTTTGAATTATGAATATCTTGCAAAGAAATTTTTCTCAAACTTCGTCAACATACGCAAGCAGTAATTCATTGTTTATTTTTTTAAATGCCTGAGTGCATCATGCGGCAAAATTTCATCTCGTTAAAAATCGTTATTCCATTTGATTGAAAAATGCTTCTGCGCATTCATAAATCACATTTTTTCAAAAAATATTTGCAAAGATTTCATTTACTGAGTGATGATTTGAGCAATATAACTCTTCGGGATCGAGACGTTGTAAATGAAATCCTGTATTTGACACTGCCTTCAGAAAAAAATTGGCTTATTAGGGGAACAACAAATGCGAGAAGAGCAGAAATTTACATTGTTTGCAGCACATGCTTAGATGAAAATTCCAATGCAAGTACAGTAATTAAGCTCATTTAAGAAAAATACGTAAGTGGTACTGTACAGCATTACGTTTAAGTTCTTGGCTGTTGAGCTTGAGTTCGATCATAAGTTATTTGTATGTGTCCAACATTGTTAAAATTAAAAACCTTAGTTTATTGGAAGAAGAGCCCACACGGAAAGCAACCAAGACGAAAAAAACCATACAATACTCAAAAAGTGGAAATTAGCACAACAAAGATCATTAAATGATACCTTGAATTGTTCCACAAGAAGAAAATTTTTGTCTCGAAATCTCTCTCGTTTTTTAATGCACATTAACATTGTACAGTACAGTATAGCAAAATGTTTCGATCCACCCTCAGAATAATGTTATACATGTATAATCGACGTATCTTCCGAAACGTATCTTAATTCGTCTCGCCACGGAAAATAAGAGATGAATGCAAACTCAGTTTCGATAGAAACACAAGGTTGATCACGTAAAATGATTCGTTACTGGCTTGGATTTTCCGCGGGTTGAATCTGTCTTTTTTTTTTTTTTTTAGTTCAATCTGCTACATTTCCCTTCAATTATAATGATCACCCAGGCTCTCGAAACTTCTGTTTCATGGACAGACCTGCAATCGCTCGTCAGGTCATAAGCAGTCGCGAACTTCATCGGATCTACATAATCAAAAATTATATACATTCAGCACGCTGATTCGTTAAAATAATTGTTAACATTCAAGAGCATAAAAGACCCCTTGATGCATGTGTACACGTAAAATGTCATTACAAAGACCTTCCAGCAGAGACTCAAACGATTTTAATGCATTGCACTTTGGAAAAATGTGTATTTATAAAAACTGGGCCTTTTCTAAGGAATCAGAAATCAATTTCTTCGAATGGAATATTGTTCCTGCGATATGAAAACGTCCTTCAGCAACATATCAAAACGTTTCCAGTTGAATTTGTAAAACTTCAATCACAGCAGAAACAGAACTACTTACTCCAGTTGAAAAAAAAAATTGTCCGCCAATTTTTCATATTTTAATAATGTTTGAATTCAATTTGAGTATTTTCTACACTGTTGCGAACAGGAAATTTTAATTCAGGATTGCTTCCTTTAAAAATAGGAGAAAAAGATTGGAAGAGAAATTCAAAAAAAATCCTAAATTGGGTCGGAAATTGGAAGACAAAAAATCCTAAAGGATCAGTCAGGATAAATCTTTTTTTTTATGATGAATATAATCGTAACATTTTGTCAAAGCCTTTCCAAATTTCCGCTGTGATGAAAACTCGATACAACGCAATTTCATCACCTGTATCTTGAAAATGACATACCGTCATTAGCCCAGACAATCGTAGACCTCATCTGAAACGATATTCTTTAAAACAATAATAAGAACCGTATTTACCTTTGGCACGCATGGAGGCCATTTCGCGCATGATCAAGTGCTGGTGACACCCGGCGGCTGCGAACACGGCGACAGCGACAGCGACGACGCCGACATCGACACCGGCGCCCGAGTCGATGCTAGACGACGAGGAGTCGACAGCACCGGGTTGCGGACAGGCGAACGAACCCCAGAGCACCGTCGACAGTGTCGCGCCGATGTAGTGACAGTGCCCGACGACGTAATCGAACCACTCCATCCGCTGGGCCGAGAACACGCTCACGAACACGCACTCGTAAAGTCGACGGCTCGTCTGGATCGTCAGCAGTGCCAGTGCCAACTGGATTCGCCACGGTTCTGCTCGGACAGAGAATTAAAAAAAAAAAGAAAGACAGCCTTTTTAAAACGTCTGCTTATTTTTTCTTTTTTTTTTCTTGAGGAGGTAGACTTTTGATGACACAGTCAAACCTCTCAAATCAAATTTCAAGGGACCAACAAAAAAATCGACTTTGGGAGGTTTTGAATTTAAAAAAAAACGAGAACTTTTGTTGAGGGAAACACGGAGGAATTGCAGGAAATGGTAAATGGTTATATTTTGGGCCTTAAATTGCTTATTAAATGAGTTGACACAATGCTGCACTTGAAGGCAGGGGTTCATTTGCCAAACTTGCCTTCCACCTCTTTTGAGAACATACCATTACACTTTTTCATTGCTTTTCTCCATCATGTGTCAATAAAACAATAGCCACGACGGGTTCAGAAATTTTGACTTATGGAGGATTGAGGGGAAAGCCTTTGAGTCGGGTATTTTTTTAATGCATTGTTTCTAAGGGAATTCAGATGGGGACTTGATAAACTTTGACTTATGAAGGCTTGACTTATTGAGATTCAACTGATCTACATGCACAAGAAATTGGAAACGTTACTTTAAAAAAAATCTTACAAGTGAACGCTGACAGAAATTTGGCCAATTTTACACGTAATATCAATGTCAAGTAACTTATTGCATAAATCGAATAATCAAGAAGCGCAGAAGCATTCAAACTGCCTTTTGCAATGATTATCGTTTGTCAATATACTGTGCAATGATGATTCCAGGAAATTGAGCAAATAAAAACTTCTCATTCATTTTTTTACATGGGACTATTTATTTCACAGTATACTGCGGACATTCAATTAACATCTACAATGCATCCCGAACAGTTAAATGTTAAGCAGGCCAATGGTTGAGTGAAACAAGTTTACCCGTTAATTATAAGTATTATACGTATCCCAATGTTTTATATCGTGTAATTGTACGAGGTTTTGAGCTGAACATCTAAAAAAAATTACAATTTTTACGTAGAATTTATACCTTATAAAATAAGTATATTTTCTGAAGCACGCGTTGCTTTTTTCACGAATTTTGGGACAATTCTGCCTAATACTGCATGAAAAGAAATCACAAGTTTTTGTTGAATTTCTTATTAAGGTGCTGATTTTTATTAAAAATAAAATAAAACAAAGGTAAGATGCATTAGAAGTACTTCCTCCCAAACTCCCCCTGGTTAATCCCTTGATTGAATGTTGAAAAAAATTGAAGTCATGGAAGAACTTTATTTATTATTTCTCCTCACTTTTCTACTTCCTTCGTCATTTCAATTTCTTTGTTACGTATTTATGATTGTGTGGTACACAAACTTTTCTAAAACAAAATCCTGGATCCATTACGGTAGGGTAATGGATCCAGGATTTTGAAATGCTGTAATGGTATTTTACTGTAACTGTAAAACAGAAGGTAGTCAACTGACTGTAGTCAACAGTCAATGAAGAATAGCTGTCATTAAAAATTCCGTGTTGACCTTTAAAAGAGTAACTTCCCTCATAATCCTCCTTCGAAAAATGCCTTCAGTAATTTCCCACCCAGATCATCGAAAAGTCTCTTCGGAAAAGCAAACAAAAGGAACTTCAGAAACATTCTCGCCATCATCTTTTAGGGTCCCAACGACGCACAAAAGATGCCTCGACAGTAGCCGAAGTGCGATACAGAAAGATAGATGAAGCCGGGCGCGAGGAAAGCGCAGAGGAGGATTTTTATGAATGGCCTGAATCCACGTCGACAGCCATTGACGGTGTCGGTGTCGGTGTCGCGGCGAGAACAGCGATAAGAAAACACCCCATGGGCGGCGGAAAAATGAATCGGAAACGGGATGCTTGTGGAAGGCGTCTGCTTGCTGATAAAAGTGAGGGAAAAAAAACCCTTGTGTTTCTCTGACAAGGCAGTGCACATGTGCGGCCCTCGTAACCTTTCCTTGAGTGACTTGAAACTTTCAAGTGCTATGCACGCAATGAACCTACTCTCGCCGGAGTTTCTGTGCAGGAAACAACAACGAGACTGAGAAGCAATTGAAGAAATACAAATAAATTAAAATATACTGCATACGGGGGGGGGGGGAATCACAATCATACACAGTATACAGTACAGTATTTCACCGACTGTATACAACAGTGTCAACCAACCTTTCTGGGAACATGGGCCAGCAAATTTCTATTCAGTTTTGAGGTTTGACAGACCAGTAAATTAAAAAAAATTTTCTGCAGACCAGAAAATGTTATACAGTACAGTAATTTTTTGCAGGCTCAAAAAATGTTTTGCTTGTAAGACTTTATGGCATGTATTTAAAAGTTTCTGTTTTTTTGCCAAAATTAAGTTGAGAACCAAGGAAGCAGCCAGAGTGGAATGCCTTCAAAAAACTAAAAGATGGACAGGAAGAAAGGTTTTTTTCAGAATAAAAAAATTAAATATTTGATTTCACCAGGTGAAAATTTGTCTTACGTGTCATAAGGAGAAGAGCCAACTTATAAATTTCCATAAGATAAATTCAATTTCCATTGTGTATTTAAAATTTCAGATAAAGATAACAGACTTAATTGCTGCTTTGGATAATTTTATTATGCTGAAGAACATTTCTCAAAGACTTGCAAAAAACGTCTGCAGACTAGCGCTGGTCAGTGGACCACTGGTTGGAAACACTGTTGTAGATAACAAGGTTCATACTTACTTAAATACAGGGGTGAGATGCACTCATTCTCATAAATAAAGAGGGACTCTCTACAATGATCTCGTCTTCAGAAATTTTCAGAATGCAGAACCAATCATTTTTGGTTAAATGCGGTTTTCCTCCCCATCCTATAAGGGGTTCTCTTCAACAATTTTTTCTCCAATCCCTTGAATTTTGATATAGTTAAAGATTGAAGCCCACCTTCACCTATACGTGTGGACTTTCTCTGAAAGTATACAGTACTCAATTAAGGGACCAAAAAAAATAGTTGTAAAGAGACTTTTCTGCACAGAATCTCTATTACATGGGGAGAGAATTTTATGGGACCACGAAATAAATTATTATGCACAGAAATCATTGTGGACAAGATCTTTGTATAGAGAGTACAACCATATTTCATGGCATATTGGATTCACAGGGAAAAAGCAGAAAAATAACACTCTCACTTATACAATGAAGCAAATCCATACACTATTAAAAGGGAAAGTGTACTTGTACCCTGTATGTCATCAGGGTTAAATGTCACATGTCTTTCACTCCTTAAACTCGATCACTGACCTCGTAGTCATCTTAGTTGGCTGAAGAAGCTAAAGCCTTTTATCTCACGCAATGATGACGCGTCTTAGAAGCGTACCCAATTAATTTTTTTTTTGAGACCGATGAAAATTAGATGCTAGTTTCATATTCAAAGACAAATCATACTCCAGTGTGCTTTTCCTGCCTCGAGTTAGTTCGTCGCTCTCCTGGATTTGTGTAGTCAGCAGCAGGCTGAACACTCAGATACTCCGCACACAATCCATGGCACGGGGATATAAAAAATACAGCTTTTGTCTATGAGGGATACTATAAAAATAATCTGATTGATTCACAACAAATTTGTCAGCATTTTCAAATTACTGTAGGTTCCGAGATTATCTTCCTCGCTCCGTTACAGTGTTCCGCGTTCTCTTCCTCGCTTTAACGCATGACGTCCGCAACTCCTTGATTTTCATGATTTTCTGTGTCATCACACAGGTGTCGCCTGAATTATTTCAAATTAGATTAGCTAGCCTTTCTAAGCTCATACTTTCAAGTTCAGTTATTCCAACTAGACTTCCTCCAAAAACCATGTTCGAAAGGAAGAAAATCTTGTCAAGAATACCGCCGTCGATACCAATATTCATAAGTTCAGGACCATTTAAAATTGAAATTTTAATTTTTAAACGCGAGAAGCTGCTGGTGATCATTACTACAGTACAGTATATGATTGGCATTCCACTACATAATCTTAGTGTTAGCACGCGCCCAGTTCATGAAGGATCTTCAAATATCTTCGAAGTCTTTAAATGTTCGACGCAAATTTTTCACGAACAGTATGAAAGGGACCATTAAAACCGGAAAATAGTGGCCAAAGCATCTTCGAAATGCAAAACGCGACACCATCCTCGATATGCGAAAAAAATAGCATTTGCTGAAATGCCACAAGATAGTATGAAATGAATGTAGTATTTTACCGGTGGACATCCGAAAAAAAATTCAATGCAAAAATGCATTCGTTTTCATTCTATTTTGTATGCTATGCATGGCCAAAGCGAACACATGTTAATCAGACCTTTTGAACTCGCTGAAACCCCATGGGACTGGCTTCTTATCGCAAGCAACTTGAAGCCAGCCAGTTTAACCCTGCAATGCCTAGTTGACGTGGAAGCCGAAGATCCCTTTCAGAACTTTTAACTTCCTGTCTTATAAAAAAAAAACAGTACAGTGCTGTATTCGGAAACAGATACATTTTACTACGGTCACTAGCAACGGCTTCTTTTTTTGGATATCAAAGTATAAAGTTTTCATTGAGTTCAGATACTTCACTGAAAATTTCCCAAGTGCTTTCAGAAATTCAATAAAATATAATTCTTCACATGCTTACTTTGGCTTGAATGAAGCACAGCACTTCTGTTGCCCTTCCTACAACTAACATGAATTTATTGCTACACAGTCAAGTAACTTCGAAGTCAAAGTCGAAGTCAGAGGGACCAGCAAACATTTCAAATTGGGGAATTATCAATTTAGAGAGATCAGCATTTTTCCTGAAGTAAAAATTAAGAATTGCAGGAAGGTAAAATTGGTGATATTCAGGGCCTCAAATTGCGTTGTAAATGAACTGACAGAATGCTGAATTTGGAGGCAAAGGTGAATTTTCCAGTTAGTCTCTTTTTTTCATCTTGAAAAGCATCAAGTTACACTTTTAGTCCTACTCTTCTTCCTGAGTGCCCTGAATAATACCCCAAAAAAAACCTAAAGATTTAAGTCATAGATGTTCAAGGAGGTAATATTTTGAGT